CGGACAGGCGGGACGAGGTTCTCCTCGTCCATCTTCGGGGACGATATATTCGGCTCTGCGTTCGGCGGCGGCCCGGACGGATACGGCATGCACACCGGCGGGCGGCCCGTGAAGGCGCCAGCCATCGAGCGGAAGCTGCCGTGCAGCCTGGAGGAGCTGTACAAGGGCACTACCAAGAAGATGAAGATTTCCAGGGAAATTGCTGACGCCAGTGGGTAAGTGCCTGCCTTCTCTGTCTCAGCATTGTTTATTTACTGCTGTTGCTTAATAGTATTTGAAATTATACTTCAATGCAATAGATAGATAGACGCCTTAAAATTGTTTGAGTTAACCGGATGAACGGATCTTTATCGGATTTATGCTTGGTTAATTTCTGCTGTTGAATTCAAAGCTGAACTTGCATGTATGTGTAGTAGACGCCTCCGTTCAATTTAGTGATTAGTGATACTTGTTATCCATCCAATCCATCCACTCTCGGATACTCCGTCGGTCCCCAAAATGAGTTCAATTCTGAATCATGTTAAACTTCCTTAAATTTGATATAGTATCAACATTTAAATTTGATATAGTATCAACATTTATGTCTCTAAGTAGGCTTACTATGCCATGATTAATCTGATGACCTTTAAATTGTTTTACTCCTCAACCAGCTACAATTGCACTCTGTTTTTAGACAGGGGAGTGCTTGTCAATTTTTCATTGTTGATTGATGGTGTGTTTAGCTAAACCAACTTTCAGCTAACCATTGCAGTAGTGGTTAGAGGTCACGTGGGAAGCTGGTCAGTTTTCGGTTTGTGGGGATCGGGATGTTTGTCTAAGGACCAGTTCTTTCTTGGTAGTTTCCACCTGCCATCATAGGTGGGTGGATCAACAGTCCGACTACGTATGGTTTGAGCTTTACTGCTTTAGCATCGGTAGCTCACTCAGTTGAATTGATTTGTATTTGCCATTTGGATGTGTCAACTTGTTTGGTCCGTCAGGCGTCAGTCCATGAGCTAGCTCCACAACTATACAAAACAAGAAAGCTGAGCTCCATTTGCAGCTTGTGTACTGACCACTGCCACCCTCTGTGTGCAGGAAGACAATCCCAGTCGAAGAGATCCTAACGATCGACGTGAAGCCCGGGTGGAAGAAGGGCACCAAGATCACCTTCCCGGAGAAGGGCAACGAGACGCCCAACACGATCCCGGCGGACCTCGCCTTTATCATCGACGAGAAGCCGCACCCGGTGTTCACCCGCGACGGCAACGACCTGGTGGTGACCCAGAAGATCCCACTGGCGGAGGCCCTGACGGGGTACACCGCGCACGTGACGACGTTGGACGGGCGCAGCCTGACAGTGCCGATCAGCTCCGTGATCCACCCTGGGTACGAGGAGGTGGTGCGCGGTGAGGGCATGCCCATCCCCAAGGACCCGTCCAGGAAGGGAAACCTCCGGATCAAGTTCGACATCAAGTTCCCGGCAAGGCTCACGTCGGACCAGAAGGCCGGCGTCAAGAGGCTGCTCGGGCAGTAGAGCGCGTTGTGTTCTGTTCTGTTGTGTATCAGACATTTTCTTGTTCGTTGATCTTGAACTGGGGGGACGCTGCCATTTGCAGCGTCCGCGACGACGACGACGACGAGGCCACCAAGTGTTGAGTACAGAACTGCTAGTGTTGTTATATGGTTGAGAACTTGAGATGCATAGCATAGGATTCCTTGTGTAATCTTCCAGAGTTCCAGATGGGTGGTTGTCTGTTCACCGGTCCATGTCGTTGCAGCTTTGCGAATGCGAAGGGTGGGATGGAATAATTGTTGAGCGCATACACGTACATTCTCTGTATTTAGTGTAGGGAATAGTTATTAGCACCATCAATTGTACTATTCCCTCCATAAAAAAAGAACGGAATTCTAGATTTTAGATGAGTTAAACATTCTTAATTTTTGATAAAATTTATGGTACATGTCTCTAAATAGGTTTACTATAAAAATGCATTCCATTAACTAATGCAATGATCTTTTAGTATAATAAAAGTTAGTGGTTTTTTACTGATTTGAGTAAATTTTAAACTGTCCAAAAATAAGTTCATATCTCGTATAACATCAGTTTGACTAGATTCTTGAAAAAATAATATTAACATTCGTATCATAAAATAAGTTTATTACTGCTCATATGAATAAATGATGTGATTAATAAAATGATGTTTATTTGAGATCATAAACATTAAGTTTTTTTTTGTATATACTTGTCAAACTTTGAACTTGTTGACTTCTTGAAGTGTGAGATATGCACTTATTTTAGATAGAGGAAGCAAGTCTTTAGAAAGTGAGAATTGTATTTTTTTTTAATAATGAAGGAAGTATAAGTGAGATGGAAATTTGGTGCAATGGTGCTAGAAAAATTACATAATACTCCCTCAGTTCAAATTATAAGGTATTTCTACTTTCTTGAGAGTCAAAATATATCAAGTTTGACTAAAATTATAAAGAGAATTATAAAGATATATAATATCAATTAGATATACTATGAAAATATAATTAATTAAGAATCCAATGATACTTATATAAATTTGATTAAAATTAAGATTCCTTGACTCTCAAAATAGTTATTAGAATGGTTTATAATTTGGGACGAATGGACTACTGTACTGAACACTACTTCTAAACTTCCTTACATTGCAATTAAGCACCCCGTTTGCTATAAAGGATGGCGCATGCGCGTCATTTCGGTCTTGTTGACTTCATCATCTTTTATCTCGTTGTCGCCTCTTTTTCTTGGATAGCTTCTTGAGGCCAAATGATATGCGTCCTGTTCGCGGGACTTATAAGTTACTTTTTTAGTCAATAAATAATATTTTTTTCTCATAACAAATCAACCAACAATGTTTTCAGTCATGACTTATCAGCCAAATAAACATAGCAATGGTGGTGCATCCTGTTTGCCCAAGTCTCTTGGGCCTACTTGTACGAGTTCAGTAGGTCCTGCATGATGTTTGTAGGACGGTTTAAATTCAGGGTGAAAATTTTGAGGTGTCACGTTGATTGTCACATCGAGGGTGTCGTATAGGGTGTTCGAATACTATTAAAAAAATAAATTACAGAATCCGTCAGTAATCCACGAGATGAATTTATTAAGCCTAATTAATCTATCATTAGCACATGTGTTACTGTAGCACAACATTGTCAAATCCTGGACTACTTAGACTTAAAAGATTTGTCTCGTAAATTAGTCGTAAACTGTGCAATTTGTTATTTTTTAGTCTATAATTAGACCTTGTTTAAATTAGGGTGTAAAGTTTTGGGGTGTTACATCGGGTGTTATATGAGGGTGTCGCATGGGATAGAGAGTAAGGGCCTGTTTGGAATGCGGGATTTTTTCTCAATTCCATACGTTTTTTCTGTGAAATTGAATTGATTCCTATAAAATTTCTGTGCGATTTCTATAAAATTCCTGCGTTCCAAATAGGTCCTAAACTTTAAGAGAGAACTTAAACAAGACCTTAATACTCTATATATATATATATATGTGTTAAACATTCGAACATTCGGTGATATAGGAAGTAAATTCTAGAGAGAGATAACTAAACCGGGCCTTATTGTGAAATCTTCGGCATGATCTTAGTGTGCCCTTCGTCACCTGTCGCCGCAGTAGGTAGCTTGGTCCCTATCCTGTTTTCGACTCGGTGCTACAGCACATTTGCATTTGGAGTTCTCTCCTCCAGGTCTCGGTAGAGTATCGTCGAAGTTGCGGTGTTGCGCGCTCCACGCCAGGTCTATTCAATCCAGTATCTCCGCCCGCCCAAGGGCACAGACGGCAGACCATCGCGAATTGGGCGTGTTCAGTTCCATCCCAAAAAATAAAAATGCTATACAGTGCAGGCGAAATCACAGACGAAATCTTTTATTTATTATGTATGATGAACATTAATTAATAAATACAACGAAAAAAAAAAGCGTTTTGCTAAAAACAGTTTGATGGGCCCACGAGACGTAACGTTTTCCCAATTAGTTGCAATAATTAAATCCACTAAGGTCTATTCAATCCAGTATCTACAGTCACCCCAAATTCAACTTCCTAGACCTAAACACGCTCTGATTCTCCGAGGTCGCCTCGCACAGCTTTGCCGGACGCGGTGTCACGGTGACGGACGTCTGCAGCGCGCGGGCTCTGGGCCTCGGGGTCAGTAACTCTGACGAGTTACCTACTGCTGCTACGGTTACTGGTACGGTGGTCCCATCCCACGATTCCGCGGTCCGATAGGCCCACGCGGCCACGCCACGTCGCCACGGCGTGGACGGCAGGTCGCGCCTCGTCCCCGCCCCACACGTCATCCGCGGCGAAATTTCACGGGCTGACTACTCAATGGGCGACGACCCGACCGGGGGCGCGTTTAGTTTTGTACAGTACATATTCTCCACCGTAGCATTTTATTTGTATTTATAAATTATTATTTAAATATTAACTAATTAGACTTAAAAGATTCATCTAATAAAGTTAAAGTAAACTGTACAATTATTTTTTATTTTATCTACATTTAATATCTATATACGTATATCATCAGTTTGATGTAACGAAAAATCTTTTTTTATAATGCACTTCTGGAGAACGGGCCGGCTCTGCTCTGCCTGCTCACCTCACCGCACCGCACTCTCTCGGCGCGGGCCGGCGGGGACGGCGACCGCACGGCGAATAAAAAAAAAAAACAAGCGGCGCCACGTCCCCCTCCTCCTCCTCCTCCTCTCTCTCCACGTCTCACTCTCACCTCCCGATAAGAGAGGGCCCTCGGCTTCCCCTCCCTCCCCTCCTGCGCTCCAGCTCCCCTCCATCCTCGGCCAAAAATCTGCGGCGAGCTCCGATCCGATCCGACTACTCCCCACGCCGCAGAGGCCGTGCGAGCTGATCGCGCGGCGGTCGAGGATAGGAGAGGCGCGGCGCCGCGGCTGCCACCGCCACAGGTGGACGAGAGGCGAAAGAAGAGGAGCTGTATCCCTCCGCCCGCTCCCGCCGGACCGATCGACCCATGGACTCGGAGCACTGGATCTCGCGCCTGGCCGCCGCGAAGCGCTTCTACGCGGCGCAGCTCGGCCACAGCGGTGCGGCGACCGCGCTCCCTTCCGTCCCGTGTTCCGTTCCGCTGCGTTTGCCTTCGTGGTGGGAGGTGTTTCTGATCGCTTCACCCTCGGCTTGCTTTTGCGGGCGCAGATCGGGCGGGGATGGAGGAGCTGGACATGGACGAGGAGGTCAGGCCCGAGTTCGCCTGCCCCTACTGCTACGAGGACCACGACGTCGGATCCCTCTGCGCGCACCTCGAGGAGGAGCACCCGTTCGAACCCCAAGCCGCGGTGAGTGCCCCACACCGGGTGCCTTAATCTGATGTGTTTTGCCTCCTATGGATGGCTAGAGAGGATCGAACAATTTTTGCTTGGTTGACCTGGATGGCTAGAGAGGACCGAACAATTTTGTGCTTGGTTGACCCGGGGAGTGGGGACTGACCTCATGATGCTAGTCGCGTAGGGGCGGATGCTTGATTCTCATATGGGTTAAATACCTTGTTCTGATGGAATTTGGAACTATCAGCTCGTTTGCGTTGACTTGAAGAACGAGATTTTTTTTGGGGAGATCTATGGACACGAGAAGTATTAGAAAGATTGTATAATTTGATACTTACAATATCCTTTTAGTCTGACTAAATGAAACTAGAGTTTTGGGATATGAATATATGACCACTTAGAGCTATTGCCATCGGTAGCTCTTCTCGTAGATGCAAAATGATAGCTAATATATCATTCGTCAGTGTTATAAGCCTGTGGCTTGAGTGTTTGCTAACATACAACCATGGACTGAGGTCTGCTACAAAAAAGCTTAGCTTACAAATATGCATTTGGAGAAGAAAGGTTTCAAGTTTGATCCCAAGAACGAACATCACTGCCTTTGTACTAGTGAACTGCAACAACAGCTTTGGAAGGAACACAATAACTCAGTATCAGGGGTAGAACTTCTAGCTTATCCTAAGTTGTAGATTTAAGATCTCTTAGTTGTCTCCAATGTTATAGGATCTGCTGCGTGTCGATTTGAGGACCCCTTCTCTTTGCCTCAGTTGAATTGATCTTTTATTTATCTGTTCTCCCCCAAAAATATTGTGTAAGCTATAGCCTATAGCATGGATGAAACTCACCTTAATGATGTTGCTTTTTTGCCGTAATAATGATTCATTTTGCTGGTTGCTTCTTGCCCTGATTTTTGCACTGCCCATTTCAGGCTTGCCCTGTTTGCTCTGAGATGGTTACGAAGGATATGGTTAACCATATTACTATGCAACATGGATATTTATTCAAGGTATCCTCACATTGTGGACATGTAAATTCATGGTTCTTGAGCTCACCAATTCATGCATAAAAATGTAGCTGGTCAATTTACAAAGTTATTTTTCCCTGAAACTCATTCACCTTCTGACCTCCTGCAGAATCGTCGCCGGTTGCGCAGATTCATTATTCCAGGCAGCCAAGCCCTTTCTTTACTGAGCCGAGATCTACGGGAAGCCCATTTGCAGGTGCTTCTAGGAGGCGGACATAGGTCAAGCAACAATAACAGCACCACAAATATTTCAGCTGATCCTCTCCTGTCATCATTCGGCCTTAGCTTCCCTACATCAGATGCAGAGCAAACATCCAAATCGACTATTTCCATTCCTGATGATGCTACGATGGTAAAAGAAACACCTACTCAGGCACGGAAGTTAAGGTATATTTTATACACATCCATGCTAAAATGAAACACTAGTATTGATATATTCGAGTTGATAGGCTTACAACCGCATTATTTTTCACCCAATCACGCGAACATCATAATCTTCAGGTTACTTTCTGGACTAGTTCAGAGTCTAGCTGAATGGTCTTGTGTGACAGGGAAATCTTATGTGGCCATGCAAATCTGAGCCAGTAGTCTTCTAGATAGCTCATTTTTGTTTTCCTTTGATAGATGCCTTTTATTGAACAATAATAAGTCTTCCAGCCAGCAAATCGGTTTCATTGAAAAATGATAAGCAGTGTAGTAACAAACTTGGCTTCTGTTGGGTTTCAACTCTAGTCTACCCCAACTTATTTGGGACTTAAAAGGCTTTGTTGTTGTTGTTGTTGTTGTTTGATAGATGCCTTTTATTGAACAATAATAAGTCTTCCAGCCAGCAAATCGGTTTCATTGAAAAATGATAAGCAGTGTAGTAACAAACTTCTCACCGCCTTTTGCAACTTGCTATTTTGTAAATGCATGGATAAAGCAGGTTTTCCGTGCGATTAAATCCTACCCATCTTACAATTGATTGTACACTGTTCAATCATCCGCTGTTCTTTTTTTGGTGGCACAGTATCGAATCGTCCCTCACAAGTGAAGAAAGGGAGCAGAAACGGAAGCAAGCCAGCGTCAGAGCCACATTCGTGCAAGACCTTATGCTCTCTACTCTATTCAGGGACTAATAAATCAGGGCGAGCTTAAGTTATCACCGGAAGGGTGCTTCCCGGTGCAGATCTGCAAAGACTAGCCTGCTCCACCCAACTTTGAATTCCTCGACAGAACATACGCGCGCATCCGGGGTGCTAGCCTTCGTCCCCCTCCAGTAAGGTGCAGAGTCGATGTGGGCATGATGTGTCTTCTAAGTTATTGTAAGCCGGTCTCTATCTATCTTCAGTTCCTTCACAACTGACGATCAGCATGTGGTATGCATGCAAGTTGCCGTTGTGCGTGTACCTCATCTGTGTCTGAACTCTGAAGCATTGGTTTGTTGTACGGGGCCATGTTCGCTTGTCTTATAATCTGTATTTTTCGGCTTGTTCTTTCAACTGGAACAACAAATCAGCCAAAACAGTGTTTTAGCTTTTTTTTCAGCGAAGCGAAGGGGGCTAATAATGTTGAACAACGGATGGCTATGTATACATTGCAGTGTGTAGGAGCAATTAAACGAGTTCCGAAACTACAGCGCATGGCTATACACTGAACTGTATAGCGAGCATTTAGCGAGCTCCGAAACTGTCTAGATTTGGATGTCGTTAGTCCATGTGCGCCAGACCGCCAGTGAAGCCTAAGGCCCTGTTTGTTTCCGCTTCTCCCAAACACGTTTGGATTATAATCTAAGCGAAGATTTTCTCGCTTCTCGTAGTTCAAATCTCTAAAACGGCTTACCACATAAGCAAGAATCGGTGGAAATAAGCAAAGCGTTTGACGGGATTCTCGCTTATTTCCACCGATAAGCCGCTTATAAGCGGAAACAAACAGGGCCTAAGAGCCTGACTGGCCTTATCGTAAACAGAAAGAGGATTCGATCGGTTTGCTGTGGTTGGCGGCACGAGCGGCTGCCTCCCTTCAAAGAATGTTGACCAGCGCCTGTTGTGAAAGAAAAAAACCGGACCGGTACTTGATCCAACCCACAGCATTCAGCGATGTGGATGTGTTTCCTCGGTCGCCGTAGGCCATGACGATGAGAGGGGTTGCAACGGCGTGCCGCGATGCAAGCCCAAGGGCGTTGGTATCAGCAGAGGTGGAAGGAGAGATTGGTCGGCAACCAATTATCATGACTCCACAATTACCAAATAAAAATCCCAGTTCATAGAAACTGCTGGAACCCGAGAGATCTCTCTTTAAGTTGTTCGATATTCCGTACTCATGATATCATCCACGCAAAACTCGCAATTCAATTGAATTTATTTCAAAATCAAGTCAATTGAACTTCACATCCATCTCTTTCTCACAACTCAAATTATCGTATGTCTCACATATGACAATTCAACTGGCGTCTGAGCAGATGAACGAGCTCAACTCTTCATAAGAAAGTAACAACCAACAAATTATCATATATTTTCATATTGCAAACGTGCGTGTGCAAGTCCACGGGTTACAAGCACATATGTCCATTAAAAGGTAGGACATATGCCAGCATCATTTAAACTAATCTAAACAGTCTTATTTCATCTCGATCCTCCAGCTAGAAAAAATAAGCTGGTGAATATGTAATCCTGGCAGATAAAAAGATGCCAGAGGAAATACCTGAAGATTTCCAACGATAATGAAGTACATACCGAGATATATCACACAAACATCTCATGAGTAAGCGTGGCAGCTGCATTTGTCATTCTTAACTATCCAGACCATGCATGAGGAGCTACCCCATGGCTAACAGAGCTCAACCTATCATGCAGGTGGTTATAGTCTGCAGGCTGGCCTGCAGCCACCATTCGGAGTGCAAGGCCCTCAACTTGATCCTTTGAGTAACCCATCCGAGCAACCTTTTCAGCATTGTCTACTGGATGGTTCTGCACTGACTGAGGTCCCAAGTGATGAAGCACCATGGGAGCACTGTAATGTGCTTGTTGATTAAGGACAGCAACAAAAGTAGCAGGATTGCTGGAAGGGCTTCCATAAGCAGGGCTGTAGGTCTGTGCATTCCCTTGTACCGTGTATGATGCGACACCACATGGATTAACTTTGCTTGGCTGAGGTACAAATGAACCATTGCTGAGTGAATGAAGCTGCTGATGCTGCTCCGCCAACGGAACAGAAACCGTGTTGCTTTGTACATAAATAGGAGCAGTTTCGTGATGCTTCCGCTGGGACGAGGAAATTGTGGAGTATGAAGGTGGCACGACCATGCCCCCGGTGCGTGCCTCAGCGTTACCACATGCAGACTGATGAGCCCCATATGGAGGATATACTAGTGTGACCTGTGGTGTGCTATGAGCATGTGGAGAGGACGTTTGCAGCTGAACCATCTGTGCTGGACCTTGCTGGATATTGCTGTACTGCTGCTGCTGTACCACCTGTGGTTGTGGTTGCCTTGCCTGGGACTGAACCTGCTGACCGGTTTGATGTTGCCATTGATGCTGCGGTTGAGGGTAGAACTCTGGTGCCTGACTGGTTACCTGAGGTACCTCAACTACTGTCTGTGGCTGAGTTTTCCGAGTGTGTGTCTGCACAGATTGAGAAGCAGCTTGAAACATTTGGGCCTGTCTGTGCTCCAGATGACTTTGGCCTCGCATACAGTACACAGCAGTTTGGTTCGAGCGCTGCTGGTCTTGGACTGGCACCAGTTGCTGTAGAATAAGGCCACTGCAACTTTGGAATTGCACAGCAGGAGACTGAACAGCATTTACTTGGTGCAATGGCACAAGGGCAACCTCATTTTCTCTAGTCATGAAAGCTGATGGAGCAGTACCTTCACTCTTTTGTGCAGAATCCTCATGTACTACCTGAAGTTTGCTCATTTCTTTCTGAGTTTCAGCAAGCTCCTGCTTCTCCTGAATGACCTGCACAGATTTCTGAACCTGTCCATGAAAGTAGGTCCAGTTACGAGTGAAACTATTGAAAATGTCATCACAGGTTAATGAGACCATAAGTTGGACATAACTGAAGAAGGTAAAAAAAAATGTGCAAAGGATGTCAACAGTGAAGTTTATCTCAGTAGTCTGCCACAATTTGAAAATCTACAGAAAATAGGCATTGTTACAACTTTCTGCAATACTATCCGATCTGATTTTGTGTGTGTTGTTGTTGGGGGGGGCTAGGAAACTTGTTTGCTAAGCATGTCTCAGATTTCATGTGTTTTGCATAATATCCACCTACTCACAATCTAAATACGACTGCTAATCTATGCACACTAAGCTGATAACGTATTGTTACCAAAGCATAAAGATTCAGTTCAATGGATCTTGATTCAGCACTCTGCATGAGCAGTGCTAAGACTCGATGAGTTTGTGTATTCCTGAGAGATCCAAACAAATCAATAAAGCGTGTCTGCAGAAACTGATCTAATGTGCACTTGATGAATGTCTAATGATTCAACTGAAAAAACATTCCACCATATTTTCAGTTACATGATATAATTGGAAGACACCATCCTTTTTTTTAAAAAAAAAAGACAAGATCTCTGCTTTAATCAAAAGCAAAACAGTCTGTTCATGACATGCATTTTGTACTGTTCAGCCATAACCAACACTATGGCAAATGGCAAATTCTACCCAAACAATAGCCTATAAGAAACAGGAAATGGAATCTACTTACATAAAAAATTGAAACCAAACATAAAGCGTTCTGAGTTTATGGTGATGATACTTCACAGTAGACAGTAGTGCATCATGCAACAGAGCTCAAATAAAAATAGCAAGTACTTTGATATTTCAATGTATAAAAAAGATATACCTCTTTCACTTGCTTTTCAAGGCACTGAAAGTTGAGATTTGCTTCGTTATGATAATCCATCACATCACTTCGCAATTCTCCAATGGACCTTTCCAGCTTATAGCAATATAACTCCAATTGTGACAACCTACCACTGATAACTTCCAGTGAATTCAACAAGTTATCTGCTTGTTTCTTCATGCATGTTTCTATAGCGTCTGTCACGATTTCTTTAGAAATCTTTTCTTGCTCATGGAAATTAACAAATGACATTAACAGTCTGTTCTCCTGAAAATCCTGATTCATTGGGATAATAGACACATTAGACCACATAGGATGAACATAAAAGTTTAGCATATAAGATGGACAAACTCTCTTGTGCCTAGTTACAGAGAACAGAACCACAACAACTTAACGTATCACTGCATCAGGCACCTAAGGACAAATCTCCTTAGGCAGCGTTGCACCTGATTGTCATGCTACCCTAGTTGTAGCAAGAGCCCCAGGAATCTGAAAAGTCAGCTAACAGAAACGAGAAATCTCGACGCGAAACTGGCTAATTCGTCCACTCCTTTTACTCCAACGGTCCAGAATAATGAGAAAAACAGCAGAACCAAGCGTACCCAAACCCTACGCTTCAAAAGCGGCTAATGAGCATCCCAATCCGCAGTCACACACAAGCAACAGACGATAACCCCACAACCGTTGGCACAAATCAGAACAAGGCAGCAAGGTGCACCACCATCCCGGCAACGAGCAACGAACGAACCCGACGCTCTTGTCAACGCACCACGCGCGCACACGAAACCACTCCACAACCGTTGGCACAGATCAGAACAAGGCAGCAAGGTGCGCACCCATTCCCGGCAACGAGCAACGAACCCGCCGCTCTTGTCAACGCACCACAAGCACACGGAACCACTCGGTTTGGAGTCTGGACACCTACCTATTCCCCCAAGCCCAAGAGGCCAAGACAGCATCAGGCGCGGAGATCTCGCGCAGATAGATCGGAAGGCGAGCGGGTCCGTACCTTCTGCCGGAGCGCCTGGTCGAAGGAGCAGCGCTTGGGGTCGGGCGAGAGGCCGAAGGCGCCGGAGACGGATGCGGCTGCGGGGCGTGCCGGGGACGCCATGCTGTGCGGCGGTGATCGGCGGCTGCGCTAGGGTTTCCTCCGGGGCGGCTCTGCGGTGGTCAGAGGATTCGCACGGGAAGGGAAGCGAAGGGACGACGAAAGGGAGGAGGAGGCGTGGGCGAGGAGTGGAAGCCAAGAGAAAAGAGGAGTAAAAGCTAAAGAAGCGTTCGAAAAAAGCGGTGCAAAGCGAGAGCGGTCGGGCGGGCGGCGGGGCGACTGGCGAGTTCCGGTCCGGGGCCGCGGAATAAATACGGCGGGGTGGTGGCGCCGTGCCGTGGACCCGTGGTGGGGGGGAAAGGGAAAAGAGAGGAGAGGGGGTGGGCTCGGCACGAGCGGACGGCGCGGCGGCCACGCCACCCGAGGGCGGCTGCGTGCGCGCCTGCCTGCCTACTCCTCTGCCCGGTGCGGACCGCGGGCATCGCGCGCTCGCCGCTCGCGGTTTGGTTGGTCAGAGGTCCTGGACCGTGCGCGTTGCCGTGCAACCGAGACGCTCGTGATCCGCGCGGGTCAATGCCATGCCGCCTGGTTTTATTGCACCGCACGCGAGGCGTGAGGACTGCGTGGGGGGTGTGGCGCGGCCGGTGGGGGCGCGGGGACGCGGACGGATCGCCTGCCGCCGCCGCGATCGCCGTACGGGTACGGCTGGCAGTGGCAGGTACTACTAGCACCATTCGCTGGGGCCTGGGGTCGCCTCGCCGGCGTGTTTCACGACTTGCAGTCATCCTGATTGTCCGGCATCCGGCGGATGGCCAGTGGAATGGCGCACGGACACGGCACCCCGTTCTCAGCGGATCGCCTAGTGTGGAAAGTTGACGTGGATAGGAATGCCCTCGCCCATCACCGCGTCCTAATCCCGTGCGCGCGACACTGTAGATCATTCTAGTGCTCTTCGACCGTGTACCATGTGTTAGCGTCGGAATGACATCTGGTCATTTTGGCTCCGGCGGCTGTGCTACGTCGATCCGACCTGCACTGTTTGACAGCAACGACACGGAGACGTGAACGTAGCACAGAGACGCGTTCAAAATAGACGGGCACGCTGTATTGACAGTTTGGCTGCCGAAAGAAAGGCCCAATTGACAGGTCAATGGTATCCCGTTGCTTACAAAAACCCAACTTGTATACCTCAGACGTTGATCTCCCGCCCGAAATCTGCAGCTGCAAGCGTGCCCACAGACCAGGACACAGCACGGCCACACGAAACCAAAAGACAGAAAAAGATGGCGTTGCATTGCGTTCTGGTTTCTGGTGGATGCTGCCGGGACAACCGGACACGTAGCGGCACCGTACATGTGGCTCGGCTCGGCTCTGCGGATAGGCACGGGGGCGAAGCGAATCTGGAAGTGAGATGTCACGCCGACTTGGATTCGGTGAATAATAAGAAAAAAACGGAGGGGTTGGTGGATGGCTGCCGGCTCGTGACGTCCCCTCCCTGCTCCGCCACACGAAAACCTGGTGGTCTCTGCTGGGCTGGGCGCGCACGCTACGGGCGAATTTTTTGATAGGGTGTTTTAATTGGGGATGTGGCTAAAAGGCATTTACAACCAAACCTGTGTAATTAATTTTACACCGGCACACGCCTAAAAGATGTGATAAAAAGAGAGTGAAAAAAATTGAAATTTTAAGGCAATCTAAACAAGGCCAGGGTGTTTTAATTAGGATGTGGCTGGCGACGCCCCGGTGAGCCCTTTCGCCGGGCCACACAGTGCCGCATGCCGCCACCGCCCACCGGGAGACATGTGCGCGACCGCAACTGGGGAATCCATGCACGGAATTCGGGTGACCGGATCTGATTTTGTGCTCAGGGCTATGGACAAGAGGGGAAACGCATGGACAATTGGCCATGGCCATGGGCCACGGCTTACGACTTGTTAATTTTCTTATGAGTGGCAATGGCCCAGTCAGTGCAAGTTGGGCGACGGTGACCCGCGCTCGCTGGGCGTACGATGTACGCGTCCTTCTAGTTCTCCCTCCATCCGAATAAAGGTCTGAAAAAAAGTAATTCTCGTATTTTATTGAGTCCATTTAATTTTAATTTGGTAAAATATACTAAAATATTATACTCTGTAATATTTATAATATGTAATAGGTATTATTAGATTAATCATGAAACATATTATGTACGCGTCCTTCTAGTTCTCCCTCCATCCGAATAAAGGTCTGAAAAAAAGTAATTCTCGTATTTTATTGAGTCCATTTAATTTTAATTTGGTAAAATATACTAAAATATTATACTCTGTAATATTTATAATATGTAATAGGTATTATTAGATTAATCATGAAACATATTATTTTATACTATTTTCAACTAATCTAGTTATAATTTTAAAAAGTTTGAGTTAATTTAAATCTAAGATTACTCTTTTTTGAGACAGAGCAAGATTTTCACCAAAAAAAAAAGAGAATTGGGTCTTCAAGTAACACGTGAGTCACATTTATTTGGCTATATCTAATGTAACGCTAGGCGTGAGTCCGCGTGGACCGCATGGACCAATCCTGATACACGGACACGGCCTGCTAGTTATTATGATGTTCATATACGAACGCGCCAATGCCCTCACGCAGGTGCAACGAGGTCAACGCCGTGTTCAAGGTACGGGCGTTTGAGCGGAAGCAGGGATTATACTTCCATGCATGATAGGGCTCTTGACAAATGACATCGTCGCCGAGGCTCTCTAGTAGTCTCTGCAACGTTGATTGAAATGAAATGCACACAGCTTTCTCACGCGTTTCCCTACACTGCACGCAAATGCGTGATGAAGTACTAAAACGTTCAACGTGCCGATTTGAAATGGTCTCTTCTACTTTATCGTAAAGTTCAAGATGTCAAGGTTTTGGCTGAAAGAAACCTGGTTATTGGTTAATTAGAGAGAGGAAATTACGAGGATCAACCAAGAAACCTGGTTATTGGTTAATTAGAGAGAGGAAATTACGAGGATCAACCATACTCGTTTTGTCAAGTAAAAAGTACAAGATTAGGCTATCAGCAGCATACTTAGTTGACAAGAAAGCAATCACGCACTACTGCCGGACAATCCTGGAGAGCTGAAGGAACGAGAGAACAACTTTTTTTTTTGAGCAAAAGAACGAGAGAACAACTTTTTTTTTTTTTTTTGAGAAAAGAACGAGAGAGCAACTAGTAGTATGGACGAATTAAAGACAAGGGTTGGGCCGCCGAAAACCTTTCTGCACATGGCCGACTCGTGCTAGGCCGATTGAGGCCCAACATCGGAGTGGGCTGCGGCCTGTGACGTCGTACCTCGACAACCTCGTAGCCCGACTCCTCCCTCGTCCTCGTCAGGCTCGGGTTGTCCAACTGACAACCTCAGTCGTGTCAGTGTCTGTCAGAGCTCGGCGCGCGGATCTAGGGGAGGGGGCCGTGCCGACTGCTGACGCCGCGATGCCGATCTGCGCGCCGTCGTCCGACTCCTCGTCGTCGTCGGGCTCGGGTGCGCGCGTGTGGGTACTGCACGGGCTAGCGCTCGGCGCGGCGGCCGCTGCCGCTGCCGCGGCATTCCTGTACCGGCGGCTGAGCGGGTTTCGCAGCCGCGCGGTGGGGATCATACCCGCGCGCTTCGCCTCCACGCGCTTCGAGGGCAAGCCGCTCGTCCAAATCCTCGGCAAGCCCATGATCCAGGTCCGCCTCCTTCTTCCTACCTTGTCTCATCGCATCTTTCAGAGGGAGCGAGGGGAAGCTTGCGGTAGAGAATCAATTTGGGGAAACTGTACCTGCAACTCGCGGTTGGGACTGCGAGGGGAGGTCGAATCGAATCGTGCTGTTTCAGTTGAGAGTGAACTATACAGTAACTGTTCTGTTGGTTACTGAAATGTTGTGAATCGTTATGTCGTCCAGACTTCATTCCTCACGGTTCAATGTTTTTTCAGCATTAGAAGTCAGGCTTGAGTTTAATGAATTTCTATTTGATGGATTTTTGGAGAAGGAAAATGGTATAGCTGTTAGTTTTAGCCAGTTTTAATTTCTTGTCTGCAACTCATCCGGCAATCTGTATAATTCCTACTGCACCTCGTGCTGACACTTTTTTATACTGAATACAGGAGCAAAGAAAGTGTGTCATTGCTTCTTCAGATTTGTCACTTTTTTTACATCTTATTTTCGTGTTCAGTTAAAAATTTGTGTGTTTCACACTTACAGAGAACATGGGAAAGAGTTATGCTAGCTTCTTCTTTGGACCATGTTGGTAAGCCCAAGATGGCTAATGGTAATCATTGATTGATTTCATTTGTTTGTCATGTTCACACTTGTGCGTCCCCCCCCCCCTCCTAGTTGTGGCAACGGACGATGAGAGAATTGCAGAATGCTGTCGAGGATTTGGAGCTGATGTTATAATGACATCAGAATCTTGCAAAAATGGTACTGATTGTGTTGTTTTGTAGTTATATTATCTTTTTCATGATTATGTGGTAAAACAGTAATGTGTGTGTTTATTGGTATTTGCTTGATAACATAGGATCTGAACGCTGCTGTGAGGCACTAAAGAAGCTTGAAAAACGTTATGATATTGTCGTCAATATTCAAGGAGATGAGCCTCTTATTGAACCGGAGATAATAGATGGTGTAGTTATGGCACTGCAGGTAGTTACTTACACAACACTGTCTTGATGTTGCTTGAACTTCTCTTCAGTTAAATCAAATGGTTCTTAGCATTTGTAGTTGGGGACTATATATTTTCTTTAAGCGTACTCCTGAAAACAGTGCATTCATCATTCTAATTATGTTGCATGTTACACATTTAACATTTACCTTGACCTTGTACACCTAAACACCCTGCGCCTCTGCAGATCTCTTGATCCCCTTTTATTGACCTTGTTTCTTTGTACTTCAAACGTGGTTTGCAGCGAGCTCCTGATGCAGTCTTCAGCACAGCTGTTACTTCACTGAAACCAGAAGATGCATTCGACACAAATCGAGTGAAGTGTGTTGTGGATAATCAGGGCTACGCGATATACTTTTCAAGAGGGCTGATTCCATTCAATAAGTGAGGCACCAATAATTGTTTTAACTCTTCCATTGACTGTATTTTCACATGAAATCTTTCTGACTTTGACCATTTCAGATCAGGGAACGTCAATCCAAAATATCCGTATCTTCTTCATCTTGGAATCGCGGTATCTTATCTGCCTTATGTTTATTTATTTGTATTTGCTTCATGGTCCTTTGATTAACCGACTTTCAGTTGACTTATTAATTAACCGACTATTCTCTCACGCAGGGCTTTGATTCAAACTTTTTGAAGATCTATCCAGAACTTCCACCAACACCGTTACAATTGGAAGAGGACCTAGAGCAACTGAAAGTACTTGAAAACGGCTATAGGATGAAGGTATTTTGGCATGGAACTCTAGAATCTATGAGATAGACAATGCCTGTTTTTTTACTGCTCTGATGAACTTTGTTAACGATGAACTTGTACGGTTTGAATGCTACTATTTTTCCATTGTGTGCTGTAGCATAATCTTTTTGTATGGTGCATACCAGGTTACAGGCTCACCGTCTGTAGTTGATATATATCCTAGAGCACTGACTTTTGTTTCTGTTTGCTTTCCGTAATTGAAGGTGATCAAAGTTGACCACGATGCCCATGGTGTGGATGCACCTGACGACGTTGAGAAAATCGAAGCACTGATGCGGCGAGAAACATTCAGTAGAAAATGAAGAGAGAGTAAGTGCTTTGCATAGGCTTGGTGGTAGACTTTTGGTTGATGCCCATGGTGTGGATGCACCTGAGGACGTTGAGAATATCGAAGCACAAAATGAAGAGAGAGTTTGTGCTTTATTGCTATCGGCATAGGCTTGGTGGGAGACTTTTGTTTGTGCTCTGCATCAATTCTTGAGGTTTCTGCTTCCTAAATTTTGAGTGGTTGAATATGTCACTTGCATTACTCCTCAACCAGCAGTTCAGCGCACAGGTGGATTGTATCTGTACTTCAGGAGTTAGTATAAGTACTTTCAGTCTCATGCACAGTGAAAACAAATCGTTTCTGGAGATGAAGCAATTGGGCAATGTAACAAAAGGGTAAAGACCCATCGATGCCGTGGGGCGTGACTGATAAGATAAATACAACAACTTCGCATTATTCTGTGGGTACTCACACGGAATGTGGCATCCATGGTTAATTGGTCATCTATTGTATCATTACCATGGTATTAAAAAGAAGTGACCACGTTTGCACTTAAGGGCTAGAAACCACCATTTTATGATGATCTAGTGTTTAGATTAAATCAGAGAGCTCATGCATAAGCATAAATGCATAATACAGTATCGCTTTGCGCGCGCCTTCTTGCCGTGTGATGGTTAGGCAATAGGCATGCAAGTGTGGGGCAGACTTGGTTGTCACAAACACTACCCACTCTGTCCAACTAATTTTCTTTGGATTTGGATTTTGGGTCAACCCAGCCCACTCCATCCTTGGTTCTAGTTCCACAAGAGAACACCAACACGGACCTGCGCCCCGTCAGTCAGAACTCGAAAACAATCATAAACACAAGGAAACACTAGTCCTGGTGCGCATACAAACAGAAACGAACAAGTAGTAATTTCAGTCACCAAAGCCTAAAGGTGGCATCGCTAGACATTACCGATCCAAACAAAAACGATGAAAGAAAAGGGGAATCCCAAGGAACCCAGCACCGAACAAAAACGCAACTGAAGCACAGATGAAACGCGTTCTGAAGAACACAGATGGACACAGCTAACAGCATTTTCAGCTGTGTACCATCCTCTGAATGGTAGAGGCTTTCAGCTATGTACCGTCCTCGGATGGTAGAGGCTGGAACTTAGTTTCATTATTAATTATTAAAAAAACAGGGTTCGCAGCCCTCCGGCTCCTGTTAGTGCATGAAACCAACAAAAACCTATGGAGTATGGACTCGGCATAGCAGCATTGCCCTGTTCCAAGTCTTTGACTTGGAGGTCTAGCTAGTTCCTCTGCGCTACCACAGTACCACTCCGTCCATCCCGTCGTGCTCGCCAGTCGCCAGTCTCCAACCCCTTTTTCTTCTGCATCCTTGTGTGCAGCAATGGGTCGCGGAGGACGTACGCGCCGGCAGTGTCGGGGCGCGGAGGCGGAGCGTGCCGGTGATGCCGGAGGCCACGCGGGTGTCAATGTCAGCGATAAGCACTACGAGCCATGATGATTGGATTGGATTACACAACAACGCAGCCAAATCAACACTGTCTGGAACTAAAACTTAGTAGATCAAATTATTAGGTACTGTGTTTATATTACACTTCGTATTTTGGGTCATTGGGTTGATCCACTAAACTATGCACTGCGCCCCGTAGTGATGGTTCAATAATTCAATTTCAGTGGTGCTGCGGATCAGGCCCGCCCGGAACTTCTCTCTTGGCTTCGCCCTCCGCCGTCGCCTTCACCGCGTTCCCCCGCCCAGCAGTGACCACGAGCGAAGCCGGCACCGGCACCGGTAGCAGCTCACTGGGTGGGTCTACGCCGCGGATCATCATGCGCGCCATTGACGTTTCCATGAACGCGTCAATCACGGCGAGCACGAGAAGGTAGGCCACGTGAACGCGGGGCCTCATCTGCCAGCAGAAGGATGTAGTGATCACATGTAGTACTGGCGGCAAGTCTTGTGGTATGGCTAAAGTGGCGGGGTCGGGTAGCTATGGACTGCGATCGGTGAACTGGACTGCCCTTGACGATCACCAACGCTGTATATATAGGGAGCGAGTGAGCCAAAGGCACGAAAACACTCGGCAAACCCTTTACCGAGTGTAACGTTCGGCAAAGGGCACTTGGTAAAATTTTTATCGGCAAAGAATCTTTGCCGAGTGTTTTTTGTCGGGCACTCGGCAAAGACTTTGCCGAGTACCCAAAAAACGCTCGGGAAACATTTTTTGGAAAAAAAAACAAGCACCACCGGCCGCCGTCCACCACCAAGCTGCCTCCCACCGCCACGCCACCACCAAGCTGCCTCCCGCCGCCACGCCACCACCGAGCTGCCTCCCGCCGCCACCAAGCCCGCCACGCCACCACGCCCCGAGCTGCCGGTGCCAAAGCTGGGGCCCGCCTCGACCACGACCACCTCGTGCCCCGCCATCGCGCCCACCACCACGAAGCCCGCGCCCACCACGACCGGATGTTGAGAGGAGGGGCGGGGCGGCGGCCGGAGAAAGGGAGAGGAGGGGCGGGGTCCCCGCCGGATCGGGGGAGGAGGGGTGGTGCGGCGGTCGGATCCGTCCCGATCCGGGGAAGAAAGGTGAGAGGATGGTCGGGGCGGCTACGGAGAAAGGGAGAGGAGGGGCGGGTCCTCGCGGAGAGGGAGGAGGGCGGTCTGTGGCGCCGGATCCGGGAAGAAAGGTGAGGAGGCGGGCGTGTGGATTTGAGAGAGGAGGAGGAGGGCAGGCGCACTGGTGAAGGATTTGGAGAGGAGAGAGGGAGGAGGGACTGGGCGCGTGGCGGCGGATTTGGAGAGGAGAGAGGAAGGAGGGGCCGGGCGCGCGGCGGCAGATTTGGAGAGAGAGAGGAGGGGCCGGGCGCGTGGATTTGGTGAGAGGGAGGCAGGCTTTTTTTTCATTTACCGAGTGTTTTAGATCTGAGCACTCGGCAAAGTTTTTTTTTTTTTTTCTTCTTCTTTTTTTTAGAAAAATGATTTTATTTCTTTGCCGAGTGCTTTTAAAGTAGCACTCGACAAAGAACTTATTCGCCGAGTGCCCAAAGAAATAGACTCGACAAATATAAAAATACTCGGTAAATTTGAGGATTCCAATAGTGAGCTACTGAGCTAGCGAATGCGTGGTCGGGTCCATCGCAACGCATGCAGAAATAGCCGACTCGATCTGTGTGCTATAACGGCCTTCGAATCTCCAGTGCGCACCCGCCGGCCAGCCGCCAATTCAAGAGCGTCTGTCCAAACGGTAGTGGTGAATCCATGAACCATGAGGGGCTTGAGGGCCTTGATCGACGTTGTATACGGACGTTAACCATTATGCTTCAGATTGTCGTCTGCGATGGCATTGCTAATCTTAAATCTCTGTCTCTGCAGGAAACTAGAAACAGGCAGGGCGGCAAATAAAGCAGTCAGCTAAACTTAGGGGTGATTTTAAACCCTGTCACATCGGATATACGACACTAATTTAGAGTATTAAATATAGAATAATTACAAAACTAATTGTACAGTTTAAAACTAATTTGCGAGACGAATCTATTAAGTCTAATTAGTCATTGGTTTGACCATATGGTACTACAGTAAACATGTGCTAATCATAAATTTTACTGCCGTGTTTTAGAATATTGTATTTCAAGCAGTCTTTTAGTTTGGTCTCAATATCAGCCGTATATGGGTTTGGATAATGGTTGTTATCCCTACTCGTGGTCTCGTGGATGCTGAGGAAAAAGGGCTTGGTAATGAGCAGGCCTTCCAATACTGCATGAATCAAATCAAAGCAATAAGGGCTTAGGCAGTTCAGTGGTCAACTATGCAAGTGTACTAGCACTGGACATATATGAATAAAAGATAGATGAACACCATCTGTGTCAACTGTTAACTTTATTTGTTCAGTGGAAATTTAGGCCATCTTTTCCCAATGCCTTGAATAGAAATACTATATCCAAAAGTATATGCCCTAAGGGCTTAGGCAGTTCAGTGGAAATTTAGACGATCTTTTCCCAATACCTTGAATAGAAATACTATATCCAAAAGTATGTGACCCAAGGACTTACTAAAGCTAACTTGCCGATAATCCTACACATCCATCACCCTTTCTTTTTCGCCGACAAAGAAAAACAGTATTATTTTTAGACCAAAAACCAGTTGGTTAACTTCCTTTATTTTTTACAGAATTGGTGACATGATCGACATGCATTGGATTATGCCACTTTAAGTGGGGTTTGAGGTTGATGCATGTACCGCATGTCCAGCAATGGTGTTCTCTGCACTTGTGCAGTTTCTGCACGCCAGATGGATATATTATAGTTGATAAAACTAATCACATCTATCAGCAGGCCACTTGGCTAATGGCCACCGCGATCAGATGCGCTTATCAGACATGAATTCTCTTTCGGCATACGGTTTCTTGTCATGGCGGCGCACGCTGAGGTAGGCAAAGGGCTAGCTTATGGCAGACAATTTTTTGTGTGCTCTAGACATTTCTAGCAGGTTGGTCGCCATCTACGATCAGAATATATATTATCCTTTTTTATGAAAAAGCATTGTCATCTTCCACTTTCCAGTTTCCATAGAAGTTCACTGTGCATGCATTGCAGCGGCTCGTGGGGCGAAAATGAAATATGATTACACTATTTGACAGGATACTTATAAACAAATAGGCCATGTTCATTTGTTTTATGAGCCGTATTATTTCAACGAACGAACAGTGTTTTCTCTCACAATAAATCAGCGAACAATACTTTTAGCCATGGCTTTTCATCAAAGCGAACATGGCCTATGTCTAAGCTTAGATTGTATGAAAAAACTTTATAAAAAAAAGGTGACCAATCTAGGAGAAACTAGACGGTTTTCATTCATTAGGCAAAATTAACTCATGACACCACCATTCTTGTGTGGAATGTGCTGATGCATACAGTAACATCCAAATTTGTGTGTTTGGCTAGATGCTTTTAGTTAACCCCCTGTAAGAACTCTCTTTTCTCCTAATTTATAAAATTTTGCAGTACTGTGGGGATCTCCCCCACAGCCTTTTTCGGTCAAAAAATGTTCAAATTTGCATGGTTCCACTATAAAAGTGTGAATCTTTGCCGTTGGACGTCGCAACCATTAAAATGATCATTTATCCAATCAAAGGAGCTAGAGGGGTTGTTATAAAAGGTCTCTTTTGCCCTGTGCTCTACTCTCTTGCTATCTATCTATCTATCTATCAAATAACTTAACAAATAGATTAAAAATACAACAACTAGATTAAAAGTTGGAAGCTAAACTATATATTCATGATGTGACAGAAAGGAGTGAACTTATATAACTTTATGCATAGGTTTCAACTAAATACACACATTATGCTAGAAAAAATATCCTAGAAATTCTAACTATCGATCTTTAATGGAGTAAACTCACGATGCCCACTAAAAAATAATAAATCCTAATAATTCTCACAAGAATAAAAAACATCTAGCCATCAATTTTGTTGACTCTAATCACCATTAATAATAATAGCCATTGGATTTACTCTATTTTATAAATAATTATCCACCTCTATGATTGTGTAAATCAACATAAGGTAATACATGAATCTATACTTCAAATTACCCATCTATTCCATTAAGAAACATGATCTAATTAAACTTAATTTTCCATATAAACTATGACTTTTATTACTAAAAATGCAAAAATGTCCCCTCAAATCTACATTTAAAAGATTAACACTTTTTATTATAAAAATGTTTAAATAACCATAAAGCATGTATATATTAATTTCTATGTTATTTATATTAATATATTACATTTGAATAACGTAAACATACATATTACACCATCATGCAAACAAACTAAACATGCATGCATGAGAGATGACTATATATGATATGTTTCAGCTATCATGAAAATATTTCCTTAACAACTCATATATTAATGATACTGATACATCAAACTTAAGTTTGACAACTTGGAAAGAATTCTAGGGGTTAATTTTTAATGTTATCTTGAGGTTAGCGCATCTACCCAACCTAGTTCTTCATTCAAGCTCTACCACTAATCTTAAGCAATGCAGAGCACGTTTTATGACACCATAGTACTTAAGAATAATGCAGTCTAAAACCAAAACTCCTTACTTTTGAAAAGTTGCAAAAGGATTATTAACAAAAGGTCTAATAAGTACTTGAGTTTCAACTTAACTTGAGGATAAAGGACCTATAGCAATCGATAAGACTAATATTTGGAAATCAAAAATTAGATTCATGATGTCATAATAATTAAGATATAGTCCAACAAGAGCCATCATAGTTTAGATAAGGTTTCAACTAAATGCACATTCAAGAGGTGCTAAGCAAATAGGAAAAAAACTATATATATATATATATATATATATATATATATATATATGTATGTATGTATGTATGTATGTATGTATGTATGTATGTATGTATGTATATGGATGCAAAAACATATATAAGCTTTTCACAACTAGATAGGGACTACAAAGTATCTATTATGTATATTGCGAAAATGGAAAAGGAGAAAAAGCATACATTCTAATATAAGCATTTTTTATTGTTAGAGGTAGTAAACGATAACTTATGTTAATGTAATAAAACTATAGCCCGTGCCTTGATGGACTAGTTTTCTGATAAAAATATACCAAATAATACCTAAATTTCTAGGAGTAAATGTGCACATGCACAGATAAACTTTGTTCCAAATAGTTCCGATCTTATCAAAGAAGGATAGAAGGTGTGGTATGAGATTGAACATTTCCATGGTACGCAAGCTGTAAATCTGCTGATCTGCGTAACATGTTTCACAGTCCTTTTCCCTGACGACGCATTCATGGATGATTTCGTTTCAGAGGTTGATGGGCTCCTGCCGTAGCGTAGCCATCAGTTGTCGCAAGTTTGCCTCTCCCTATCCTCACAGATCCTATTCTGTTGCTTTGTGCGCAGGCGTGCGCGTTGTTGTATGGTTAGGGAGTCAAGATCGCCTTTAGGCTTGCTGTTTTTTCGCCCTCAGTTCTTGTTTCAGTTGTTCTTCTTTCTTCCTTATGTTTTTTGTTCTCCTTCTCTTTACTAAGCTTGGCACTTAACAATGAGTGGGTAACAATGAGTGGGTAACTTGTAATGTACTTCTAATTTCTCTTAATGAAATACGTGCTATAAGTGACACGATCACGAAAAATCTGCATAGCATGTTCTGCAGTTGCAACACTATTAGCCTTAAAGCTAGAGCAGCTCATGGGTGTTCGTCTTCAATTGGCACAATGCGAACAGAAACTGCAGCCGAAATGGGACACGAAGAGATCAAATAAAGTCCTCTTATTACATTATTCTTTCTGAGCTCTCCGAAGAACCATTGCATAAATTAACCTATTTTTCAGATATAAAATCTGGTCTATGACTCATTGACTCTGGCTGAGGGTGAGGACTCGCGCAAATGGTTCTACAATATACCTGTAAAACTAAAACAACATCTTCTTTTTTATTTGTATACGAGCACAAACGCTAGCTCTTCGTTCGAATCCAACTGTTCAGGTGTCGTGCGCGCATGCAGTCGGCAGACAGCACCGGCAGCACGCATCTTGTTTCAGGTTCAGTGATGCTGAGGGTCCGGGCCGCCAGGGCTCAGCCTCTTGGACTCGCCGACACCGGCAACGTCGCCGTCCGTCATCGTCGACGTCTCCATCTCCTCTCGCATTACCTTATTTAGGAGCCGCCGCCCCGTCCCCGTCCCCGTCCCCGTCACGGTCGTCGACGCAGCAGCAGTCGCCACGGCCTCGCCGTCCCTCCTCCCCATCCCCAAATGCCTGCCGGCCTCGGTCGTCGTCACGGCGGACGGCAGGAGCAGGAGGACGACGCACAGCAGCGCGACCACGCCGGCCATGACGCTAACCTTCGCCATGCACACTACTCGATGCCAACTACCTTTCTCGACGTCGTTCTCTGCGCCTTGTTGGCTTGCAAGTCAGCAACTGCGAGAGTGGGTGAAGAGGAGTGGATGGAGGTGCGGGTTTATATAGGCGCGGGCGGCGGCGTGGATCGATCGCCCTCGAAGAGCCGCGCGCCGTGGTGGGGATAGGGGGTGGTCTGGGTGGCCTGACTCGATCGATTCGCGCCGCGGAGGTCAGGTCAAATCGATCTCGGTTTGGTGGCCTCTGCACTGCACTACTGCTCCGGCGCCCGGCGGTCTACCGGTGCCGACCCGCGATAAGACGGCTGGCCGGCCGGCCGGTCATGCTTGCGTGCACTTGAGCTGGCTGGCAGATTGGGCGGCTCGCACGTTGGGATGTGCAATGGCGCGCACTCTGCATGCATACAAATGCCGACATCAGCTGGCTAGCGGCAGCCGGCAGCCCCTGTGGTGCGCGCTCGTTCTGACGGAAAGGTCGCGAGCGCTTCAGAGAGATCAGGACAAGGACACTTGTCCCGGCCTCTGAACGGCGGGGCCCTTGGATTTTTTTCTTCTTCCCGCCTTTTTTACTTGCTGGGCAGACGGATCTTAAGCCTGTTCGGTTGGCTGATTCGTTTCGTTGCTGATTGGTAAGAAGTACTGCTAACTGGTTTGTGTGAGAGAAAAAAACTATTTTAACTAAAAATTTACGATCATTTACAATAAGCCACAGCCAAACGAACAACTTTTACAGGACGAGAGACACGCTGATCGGCGTCCAAACTCTTTTTTTAGCAACAGCCGGAGCTTCATTCATTCATCGTGAACATGGTTACAATCGTTGTCAGCGATACCCCGCAGAGCCGGTGGTACAAGCCACTCCACCGATCTATCACGGGGTACTAATTTGGCACATTCATGAGCTAGCTTATTACAAGTTCTACTAGAAAACACAAATGAAAAATTAACAAAGCCCCGGCTTAGATCATCGATTTTCTGTAGCAGCGGCCCAACTTCAGAGTTATGGCGTGAGGGATGATGAAAGAAAAATAGAGACAGGACAGAGATATGATATGTGTATTGGTGGTGTAATAGGTTGTGTTTCCGTGGCCAATGGGGCTTGAGCTTGGTTACACTGTTTTCACCGTTTCGTGTCAATTAAGGACCGTCCGTTGCTGTGGATGGTAGTCAGGTCACAGACTTATTACCCTGATCATATACTTTTTTATGGGAGCGGGAAGGCTCGTTACGCTCTTGTCGTGGCTTCCGGCTCTTTTTGGAGAGACTGATTAGAGGCGGAAAAAGGTAAAGGCCTAAACACCATACTGAAACCGGGTCTCAAGTGTAGGGGCTTAGAGTCCAAGTTTGGACGGAGACCTAGACCCTGTGACAGGAGTGGAATGGGTTAGTCATGTTTGTGCCTGGGGTACAAACAGGATGTGTGTTTCGGGATACCCAGCTGGGATACATTGGTTCGCGAATCGCCGTTTCCGTGAGACGGTATGACTTGGCTATGGTCTAGCACCGTAGTAAGAACTGGAAGATGAAAGATGGTGAAATGGTTCTAATTGCTCAACCCTTGCTTGAAAGGAGAACAGATGCTTACCTAGAATGGTTAGTTAATAAAGTAATCATGACTACTAATAAATTTGACTATAAAATGAGCTATTAGTAATGCTTTTCGCAAACAAAAAGAAAACAGCAAACACATATTGCTTATCATATCATTGAGAGTCATGAAACTATTCTCACTAGTCGGGTAAGTCTTGCGAGTACATTATGTACTCAGGGTTTATTTTACCTATATTGCAGGTGTAGCTTGAGGAGTAACTCTTGTGTGGAGGATTTTTCTGATGGGCACAGATGGATCCTTATATTTGTTTCCGCTTGATGTTTATTTTTATTCCACTGTTTAATTATCGCACTCTGAACTCTGGTATTATAATAAATAATTTGTAAGAACTCTTGTTGTATGAAATGGACTAAGTATTGTAAGCTCGTACTCATTATTGATTCTGGATGTAAAACGTGGATTGTTTCGAGTTCTCCCTTAGGGTGTGCTCAACGGAACTGTTCTATGTAGCTCACTTTCGAGGTGTTTAGTGTCTAGTGGAAGACGAGCGCCTCCAAAAATATGTTATTTCGGATGGTTCTACCACATCAGACGCACTAAGTTTTTCATCGTAGTTCTGCAAGATAACAGCATATCCACCGACCATCCATGGCGTAGCAGCCAGCACCCGTTCCATATCTGCGCTACATCCGAACTCCGCCACGAACAGGTTATTTGCTTTCTCCCTGAACGCTCAGAACTTGAGGCCGACCGGGTCGCCCCATGCCGGCTTCATTGCCGAACGGACTGTGTTCACGTGAACTGGCGCCGGCGAAAGCACCTTGCCCACAATCTCCCATTCCACCGAAAAAGGCTCCTCTACCTCCTCGTCTTTGGTGAAGTATGCGATGGCCTCCTCTTCCTCTGTCAGATTGATCCTTCGCAAAAGTTTCGTAACATTAGGGTTTGGGGAAGCCCCATTGACCCCCTTGCTGCTACCTCCTGCCGCTGACATGCGTCCGGATCGGAGGGCAAAACAACATGACTTGCGCGTATACAGGGCGCAGACACAATCAAATCCTGACCTAGGGTTCCTAAGCGGCGCGAGAACGGCTAACCGACGGTTTGCGGAGTCCGGCACCGAGCTGCAAGTCGGTGGCGGGGCGTGGGTACCGTGACCGGAGCGGTCGGCAGCGTTGTGGACCCAGATCACCGGTGGCCCGGCGTCCAAACTACTACCGGACGAGTACAATGCATGGTGATCGGGGCAACATATTTTTTAAATAAAAAGAAAAAGAAAAGAAAATGGAAGGTCCTGCATTTTTTTAATAGATAAAATTGTTGGGTTTTTTTTAAATTATACAGTACAACGTAGACATCTACGACATGCACTCGCACTCACCTTTATAAATATACGTACCTAGATCCTACCTCTATAACCAGCTCGGTCGAAGCAATATATATCATGCACTTTTCCTATTGTGCTCGTGTTTAGTTGGTGAAAAGTTGAAAATTTGACTATTGTAGCACTTTTATTTTTATTTGGTAATTAGTGTCCAATCATGGATTAATTATATATCATGCACTGCAATTTCCTATTTTCGCTCTACATTTAAGTTGGTGAAAAGTTGAAAATTCGATACGATGAATACTGTAGTATTTTTTAGGAAAACTTTTCGCGAAATAAACGAGGCCTGTGTAGTCGAATTTTCTTCCTTTTGGCGAATTAATTTGTCTATTCCTGCCATGGACCGCAGATTCTTTGGGCGTGCTTTTCCCTATTTCTGACTGCAGTGTCGTAGGTGCTCTCTCAGCGGAGGTAAGGGCTGGCAAGGAGCGCCTGAAAATAATCCATATTTTAGGCATTTCAAATATAGCAGGTCCCTATATCATTAGATAGGGGTTTTCAGCTTTTGCGGAACCCGGTGACTTGGCAGCGCATAGATTATAACAAAGGTGGTTGTCCTTTTGGCAGTGTTACGTTCCATCTTCCATCCATACTGGGAAGAGGAGAAAAGTAAAAGAGTGGTGTGCGATCCTTACGTGTGACATACATATCTGGGCGCGTTTAGTTCCGGTCAAAGTTGGCGGCGTCGGATTTTCAGATGCACTGTAACGTACTATAGCATTTTGTTTGTATTTGATAATAATTGTCTAAATATTGACTAATTAGAGTCAAAACGTTCGTCTCGCAAAGTACAATCAAACTGTGCAATTAGTTTTTGATTTTTGGTTTCATAAGTTTGCAAGTTTGATATGATGGAAAACAGCGCCAAACAGAAAAATGAACTTTCTGGCCCTTTCACCTTATACCGGTAAGCTAAGCCATCAGCCATTGATGATAGCATTTGATTAATCGTCGTATTGAACTCTGGCCACGCTGTTCCGACGGAAAGCAGCGCGCGTTTCAGAGATGGGCGACACTTTTCCCTATTTCTGAACTTGCGGGGCGGTTTGACTTGTTGAGTAGAGCTAGCTAGTGTTCTTGACTTTTATCGGACGAGACGAGAGGCGCGCTGGTCAGCGTTGAAACTAGTAGGGGTACGATGCATGATGCATGGTCGGGGCAACGTATTTTTATTTTTTTAATAAAGAGAAAAGGTAGAGAAAATGGAAGGTCCTGCAGTAGACACTAGACATTGTTGCTGGTGGAAGACTACACGTCGATCGTGCTGTTCTTTTTTTTTTCAGAAAAAACTTTCGTGGAAACTGGTGACCTGGCAGCGCATTATAGATTATAACAAAGCGATTGTCCTTTTGGCTGTGTTCCATCTTCTCCATGAGACCATGAGAAAAGGAAAAGGGTGGTGTGGTGTGCGTGCGATCCTTATGTGATGATATATACGTATCTTATTGCTTTGACTCGGAAAACTGATAAAATATATTATGCCCATACTGGTAATGGTAGGGTTTGTAGCCATCCTCCGTGAGAGCAATGCAATTGATTAATCGCCAAAGAGCCGCCTGACCGACTCTCGCAAAAGGCGCTAATCCGATAATGTATGTACCCACACCACATGGATTAGTGGTGAACGCCGACAGCAACCTGGAAAATGTGTTGTACGCTTGTACTCCAATTGAAGATAGCAATTGCTATATAAACAGGCTAGCAGCATCCCGGCTGAAACACTAGAGGTGGGCTATATATAGGCCCAAGGTGGCAACAGACTGCAGAAAAGGAGAATGTACTTGTAGAGGCCCATTCTCTGTCTCGCAACTAGTCTTGAACCTAGGGGCATACTTGTACCACATTCGGCTCATCTCGTCACAAGAGAAGTTTACTCCTCTAGCTGATTAATGGCATAAAATTGACAACATATTTCATGCTGATGAAATTCTATTAAACTTTCTCTCTCTCTTCGTAATTAATCTGCCAAGTCATCAAATCTGCTAATATTTTATAATATTAAATGTAAATAAAATCTAAATAAAACTCCACTGATACTAGCCTAGTCGTGCA